ATTTCGGGTTGGTACTGCTCCTTGGGCCCCGGGGTGGGAGGTTGACCCGGTGGGCCTGGTTGGGTGGAAGGGGGTTGGCTCCTATGGTTCTCTGGGTTCCTATGGGGAGGTTATCGCGGAGGTTCCTGCTCCTGGGACTTTTAGTTTCATTACGTTTTTTATTACATTATATTATGTTTTTTGCTTTTTTGCCCTCTGAGGGCTTCAGTTTTGATGTTTTCATTTGCAGCCATGTGTCCGGTGGTAGAGTTACCCCTAATTGTATCCTTCATGTGTAGGATGCGCGTCACCATTGGTGTGACACAATTGCACTGTTATGTATACTTTTTATGTCTTTTTCCTTTTTTCTTTCTTTGTTCTTTTCTTTTTCTCTGTTTTTTTTTTTTCGTTTTTGTTTTCTGCAGGGTTCTGGGACGCCATGGTCCGATCGCCATTGGGAGTGGAGATTGCTGGCTGCTTTGGGCTTTTTTCTGCTGAGCGTGTTGCGTTGATACCGCCATGGCCTCGCCCCTTTTGAAAATACATTCACAAAATGTTCAAGGCTTCAATTCGCCTCAGAAACGGGCTAAAGTTTTTCATCACCTCAAATCGCAACAAATTGATGTGGTATGTCTACAGGAGACCAGGTTTTTCTCAGTCCTCCGCTCCGCGTTATCTTTCACCTCACTATCCCATCTTTTACACGGCCTCGGCTTCTGAGAAGCGTCGGGGTGTTCTGATAGCTTTTAAACGCAATCTCCCCTTTGTCTGTTCTAGGCATATAGCGGACCCCACGGGCAGGTATTTGCTTCTGCAAGGCACCCTCTGGGACCAGGAGGTTACCTTTGTCTCTTACTACGCGCCTAACCGTTTCCAGCATAAATTCTTTTCGCATCTTTGCACCATTGTTTCTCGACATTCTAAGGGTCTTCTTCTTGTTATGGGGGATTCGAATGTTACCTTGGATTCCACATTGGATAGGCGCTACGCACGGGGAGCGACCCCCTCTCATGACTTGGTGTTAGAGGAACGTATGCGCTCTCTTTTGCGGACGGCGGGGCTAGCGGACGTCTGGAGGGAACTTCATCCAACTGAACGCGACTTTACGTTCTATTCCAATCCCCATGATAGTTTTTGTAGAATTGATCATATATTCATGCAGGTCCAGCAGCTCCCCTCGGTCCGGCGGATAACTATTCCTTCCTCACCCTGGTCAGATCATGATCCCTTGGTACTCCTCCTTGCCCTTTCTGGGTCAGAACGGCGCCCTTTTCATTGGCGCATCAATGACTCTTTACTGACCACTCAGGCTACCTGCCAACAAATAGAATTCTTTTTACGGACATACTTTGCGGAAAACTCGGGATCGGTCTCTTCAGCAGTGCCCCTTTGGGAAGCGCATAAGGCCACGATGCGGGGTCATGTTATACAGCTGGCTGCGGTCCGGAAGCGGGAGCGGGAACGCCGACTCTTGGAGCTTCATTCTCTCCTGGCCTCTGCGGATGCGCGTTGGAAGTCATCTCCATCCGTGGCCCATAAACGCGCTCGGGACGCTCTGGCGACAGAATTGGACCTCCTCGCCTCTTCGGAGGCGGAACGGGCCCTGCGTTGCCAGACATAAATTTTATTCCTGCGCTAATAAGCCCGGTCCCATGCTAGCCAGGAAACTCAATTCTGTGGGGAAGCCCCATAAACCAATTCGACTTCGACTTTCCACAGGTGGCTGTACTTCTAATCCCCAGCAGATTGTTTCCCGATTCTCGGACTTCCTTTCGCGCCTCTATGCTGCCCCAGATCCTTTCCCTGTGGCCCAGGCAGAGGCATTCTTTCAAGACCTCCATCTTCCCGGATTAACCGAGGCAGCACAGGCGGCCCTCAATGCTGGTGTCACCGTACCGGAAGTGCTCCAAGCGATCAAATCTTTACGGTCCACCGCGGCCCCAGGTCCCGACGGCTTCTCCGGTCTCTATTATAAAAAATTCTCAGCCCTATTGGCGCCCCTTTTTTAGCGGCCTATTTCAATGAGTTACGACAGGGCTCTTTGCCCTCTCCGGATGCACTTAGGGCACATATCTCTATGATTCCTAAGACGACCGACGATGTCCAGGAACCGCAAGCCTTCCGGCCCATTTCTCTTCTTAATGAAGACCTGAAGATATTGGGCAAGATCCTTAGTTTTCGCATCAATAAATATTTGTGTAGCTTGGTCCACAGGGACCAAGTAGGGTTCGTCCCCGGGAGGCAGGCGGGGGTGATAACGTCCGTAAGGTGGTCCATCTTATACATTTTCTGCAACAACGGAAAATCCCAGGATTCCTACTGTCCTTGGACATATATAAAGCTTTTGATTCTCTATCTTGGGAATATCTGCGGTTTGTGCTGTCTCGTTGGGGTTTCGGGGATTCTATCCTCTCTTGGATTCAGGCCTTGTATTCCTTTCCTTCGGCCTCCGTTAAATACGCTGGGTATTTCTCGGATCCCTTTCCTGTTGGGCGAGGGACGAGGCAGGGTTGCCCGCTGTCCCCGGCGCTCTTTGTCCTGGCGCTTGAGCCACTGGCTTTAGCGCTCCGGACCGATTGCAATATATCGGGGGTTCCATATGCGGGACAGGAGTTTAAAGCTGAGCCTCTTTGCGGACGATGCCCTCTTGACCCTTACTAATCCTCTGACGACGCTTCCTAACTTGCAACTAGTTCTTGAGCGCTTCTCCTTGATTTCGGGTCTACGTATCAATTTGGATAAAACCGTCGCTCTCAATATTACTTTGGCTTCAGATTTGGTTTCGCGCCTACAATCCCACTTCCCTTACCGGTGGGCTTCCTCTTCTCTGGAATACTTGGGCATTCGCTTGACCCCCACCTATGACTCCCTTTTTGCTGCAAATTATTATCCTTTGCTTAGCTCTTTATCTTCTCTTATGCATTCCTGGCAATTTCCGCACCTGTCTTGGATAGGACGGGTTCATTCAGTGAAAATGACCATTTTGCCGAAATTGTTATATTATTTTCGCACCCTCCCTGTGCGGGTTCCTCCTCACTTTCTTCGGTTGCTTCAGGCGAAGTTTATGCGTTTTATTTGGGCCGATAAACACCCCAGAGTCTCTAGAAACACGCTCTTTGCTCATAGACTCCAGGGTGGTCTTGGGGTACCCAATGTAACTAAGTATTATCAGGCGAGCCAGATTGCCCCGCTGTCTATGTTGCATGCTTCCTCCGATGTTCCTCTCTGGGTCCTGCTGGAACTACCTAATTGTGCCCCTATCGCACTGTCAACACTCCTATGGCTTCCCCCTGCCCTGCGCCCTATGGCGCTGAGTCCGATGTTGCTCCATGGCCTACAAGTCTGGGACTCGGTACGTTACTCCAGTGGCCTGATGTCACCCTTTTTGCCCTTGCTTCCAATCGTTAACAACCCTCTTTTCCCACCGGGTCTAGATCACCCGAGGGCATTCTCTTGGTGGGTGGCTCATGGTTTCTCACAGGTGCAACACTTTTTGACTTTTCGGTCCTTTCCCACCTGGAATGTCCTTCGGGAGTCTCGGGATGTTCCCCCAGCGGAATTTTTTTTTCGGTACCTTCAATTGCGGCACTGGCTACTTTCGCTGAGGGCCACTTCTGCTTTCCCATATCAGAAATCTGCCTTTGAACGGCTTTGCCAGCAGCACCCGGGCGCCCCAGGCCTTATCTCCCTTCTTTACGCAGCTTTGAACAGACGCTCGTCTCACACTTCTCTTTCATATGTTGTTCAGTGGGAACGCGACCTGGGAGTGGCTGTGGATCCGGAGGACTGGAGTAGGGCCTGGTCACTCATAGCTAAATGTTCATTTAATACGACCACGCTGGAAGCAGCCTACAAGGTGTTGTTCCGTTGGTACTGGGTTCCAGCTCGTCTGGCCCAGGCTAACCCTGCCTGTAGTGATCGATGTTTTCGGGGTTGTGGCCATCGCGGCGATGTACTGCATATCTGGTGGTCATGCCCGAGGTTGGTTCGTTTTTGGTCTCGTGTGTTTGGCCTCCTTTTCACTTTGTTCCATCTCTCTATACGCCGGGATGCTCGGTATGCTTTGCTTCATTGCCCCATACCGGGCCTTTTGGCTCGTCAGCAGCGGTTGGCTTCCTATTTGTTTTTATCGGCTACTAGGACAATTGCTCAGGCCTGGAAGAGTCCGTTTGTACTTTTCCAGGGGGTGCGGGATCGTATGACTACTATGATGCTCAACGAACAGATGTCGAGCATATGCAACGACTCTCAACATAAATTTTTGAAAGTTTGGGAGCCTTGGTTGCAATACGCCTTTCCCACGCTCCCCCCGACCAGTGTGGGGAGGTAATGGAGTTTGGTATTGGCGCTCGTGGACCCCTGCTCTTTGGTGTGTTTTTTTTTTTTTTTTTTTTTCCCTTTCTTCTCTGCTCTTCTTCTCTCCTTTTCTGTTTGTTTTGATGTGACAGTGGACAGCTGTCTTTAGTTGAGATAATCAAAGTCTCACTGATGTTACTGTAATCTATGTGCCATTGATAGCCCCTGCGTGGGCATACGTTTTGCCTTATTAGAATTAGAGCGTTGTCTGCTCTATTTTGCCTTTTTTATTGGTGCAATTGATAGCCCCTGCGTGGGCGTGTTTTTGCTTGTGTTTTATACTGTTTAAAATTAATAAAAACCATTGAAATACAAATTCGCAGCTCTTCTTGCACATGTGCAGCGGAAACCCGGCTGTGAAGCCACAAGCTATCACAGCCGGGTGCCCACACTAAAGATGCCGGTTCCAGGGAGAGAAGACGGCCAGTGATGGTGAGTACCCTGCAAGTCCGTGGGACAGGTAAGTGGCTGTATCTTAAAAGTCAACAGCTACAGTTTTTGTAAATGCTGACTTTTTTTTTCAGCTGGAACTCCACTTTAAGTCCAGATCTCCGTTTGTTTTCATAAATTAAATACTGATTATTTTTTTTCAGAGCTAAAGTTCTGACAGCTCCTAACAGTACAAAAGAAAAAAAAAACCCTACAGAAGAAGAAGCTACACTTACCTGGGACAGAGAGACTACACTGTTGTCTTCATTGATCGCTTCATCTACAATTAACCGATTGGGTCGGCTCTTCTGCTTCAGAATAGCTGTGGATAAATCATCCCCTTTGGAGCTGTGAAAACAAAACATGGAGGAGATGTTAGAAGTTGAAGTCTCATATGACATTTTCTAGTACCCTGACGACATGTCTAGTCAAATTCTAGATATACAAAGATCTCATAAAACAGTCGACCGACCTAACTACTGGGAGAACAACTCGTGCATGATTACTTCGTGACTTTAAGAGCTCATTCAGATGGGTGCCAAGACCCGTCCTCCATGCTGAGCTGCTGTTTGCTATGTGTGCATCCAAGCCAAGAGTAGGCTATGGACAGTGACACCAGCATGGTGGGGAGACACAAGGGATGCCAAAGCAAAGCTGAGGTGGGTTTGAGAACCATCTCATCATATCACGACTCGATTACTGCAACTCCCTCCTCACTGGCCTGCCTCGCCGCTGGCTATCCCCGCTTCAGTCCATCCTGAATACAGCAGCCAGACTCATTCACCTTACCAACCGCTCCATCTCTGCCACCCCCCTCTGCCAATCCCTCCACTGGCTTCCGATTGCGCAACGGATCAAATTCAAAAAACACTGACGTACAAAGCCGTCCACCATACTGCCCCGAACTACATCACTGACCTAATATCCAAGTACCACCCAACACGCACACTGCGCTCCTCACAAGACCTCCTTCTCTCTAGTTCCCTGGTCGTCCTCCTCCCATGCCCGCCTCCAGGACTTCTCCAGGGTGTCACCCATCCTCTGGAACTCCCTGCCCCAACCCATCAGATTTTCACCTACTCTCCTCTCCTTTAGGCGCACCCTGAAAACCCATCTCTTCAGGGAAGCCTACCCCACCCCCTGCTAACTTGCCAACCTCCTCCACTCTTCCTACTGCCCCATCCCCCACAGTTATCTCCTCCTGTGCCACCATCCCCTCCCTCCTAGATTGTAAGCTCCAAGGAGCAGGGCCCTCGATCCCCTCATGTTTTGCATTGTATTGGTCTGTCACATGTTCTGTCCCCCTTTGTAATGTACAGCGCTGAGCCAACTATTGGCGCTTTATAAATACTGTATAATAATAATAACCTCCAGAGTCGCCGGGTCTCATTCATCCCAGAACAGGGGCAGCACAAGAATTCAGACAGAGATCTGAGAGTCAGAGGCTGGGAGAGTCTAGCAACCTAAACTGCCTTTAATTTTTTGATTTTCTTTTCAATGGCACCGAGAAATTTTTTCCCTTATATTGCCAAAGCTGGAATTAGGATTTAACCAATTAACCCCTCGCCCTCCAGAGGATTCCCCCCCTTCCTGACCAGATCATTCTTTGCGTTACGGCGCTGTGTTACTTTAACAATTGCGCAGTCATGCAACGTTGCACCCGGATGAAATTTATGACCTTTTTTCCCCCCACAAATAGAGCTTTCTTTCTGTGGTATTTGATCGCCTGAACGTTTTTATTGTTTGCGCTATAAACAAAAAAATACCAACAATTTTGAAAACAAACAAAAGTTTGGACTTTTTGCTACAACACATATCCAGTAAGAAAATAAAAAATGTCACCATAAATTTAGGACAAAATGTATTCTGCTCCGTGTCTTTGCTAAAAAAAAAAAATCCCAAAACGTATAAATTAATTGGTTTATGTTAAAGTTATAGCGTTTACAAATGGTGGTATAGATACACAGGAATTATTTTGAAAAATATTTTATACTAGTAATGGCAGTGATCAGCGACTTAAAGCAGGACTGTGGCAAGAATTCTGACACTGGGGGGGACTGACTGCCACCCCCAGTGACCAGTGCTAAAAAGCCCTAACACTGTACTAATGGCACTGGGCAGGAAGGGGTTAACATCTGGGGTGATCAAAGAGTTAATGGTGTGCTTTACTAAGGAGACACACAGGTCTCTCCCCTGTCATTGTTCCTCGGTGATCACCGGCGGGGAATCTCTGGCCAGGACCCAGTGATTGACCTCTGTAGCCGCCAATGGCAGCGTAGGTAGAGTGGTGAGTGGCCCCTACCTGGAAATAACACACACACACACACACACACACACACACACACACACATATATATATATATATATATATATATATATATATATATATATATATATATATATATATATATGTATATATGTACCCGCTCCCACTACCGCCACGATCGTCTAGGCCAGGGGTAGGCAACCTGCGGCTCTCTAGCTGTTTTGGAACTACATTTCCCATGAGTCATTGCAACATTTCAAAACTGACAGTTACAGCTATGGCTTGCAGAGGCATGATGGAACTTGTAGTCCAGCAACAGCTGGAGAGCCGCAGGTTGCCTACCCCCTGGTCCCCGAAGTCTTGTGGGACACATGACAGGTCCCAGATGACTACAGGACCATTCAGGAAGCACAGCACTACTCGCACATGCGCAGTGGGCACCCGCATGCAGTCACAGCCGGGTGTCCACACTGAAGATGCCGGTGCCTAGAATACAGGACGGTAAAACATGGGGCGGTGGGGGGCAGTGTGGGATCGCGGGACAGGCGAGTGGTTGTTTTTAAAAAGTCAGCAGCTACAGTTTTTGTAGCTGCCAACTTATTTTTTTTTTTTTACAGAGTGAGTGGAACTCCGCTTTAACCAGTCGCCGACCAGAGATAGCCGAATGATGGCTACACTGCGGCCGGCCAGTTCTGGGAGGGAGTCATATGACGTCCTCCCTGAACGCGCTCTCCTGCGCACCCCCGGCAATCTCCGTGATCGTTGTGTCCTACGAACACAGCTGATCATGGGATGTGGAAAAAGGCCTTTTACCACGTGATCAGCCGTGTCCAATGACACGCTGATCACAGGGAAATGCAATTGCCGGTTCTCGGCTGCAGTTTCCTCACGCTGTCAAGAGTGTGAGGAAAGTACTGCCGAGAACCGGCAGTTGTCAGAGCGAGGATCGGCACTGATGATCAGTGCCCGGATGATCGGTGCCCAGCAGTGCCACCCACCAGTTCCACCCACCTGAGCCCACCAGTGCCTGCCAGTGCCACAAGTCAATACCTAGCAGTGCCACCAGTCAGTGCCCACCTATCAGTGCTGCCTCATCAATGCACATCAGTGAAGGAGAAAAATTACCTGTTTGCAAAAATTTTATAATAGAAAAACAAAAACTTATTTTTTTTTCAAATTTTGTGCACTTTCTTTGTTTATAGCGCAAAAAGTAAAATCAGCGGCGAGTAAATACCACCAAAAGAAAGCTCTATTTGTGAGAAAAAAAATTTTATAAATTTCATATGGGTACAATCTTGCATAACCGCGCAATTGTCAAAGTGCGTCAGCGCTGAAAGCTGGCCTGGTAAAGAAGGGAGTAGAAGTGTCCAGTAGGCAAGTGGTTAAGGAAGCATCTGGTTGTTAAGTGTCTACGAGGCCAATGAGGGTGGACTAACTTTTGTGTCTGGGGAAAAAAAAACTTGAAAAGAAAATAAGTTATGAGGGAGTTTTCTGGTCAGAGAGTGAATTTCAATAGCAGTGTAATCAGCAACCAAAGGGTCACCCTGTCTATGTGTGATATTATCGATGCAGGTTGAGTCTGGGGGCCAGATGGCTCCTTATACTACACCCCTCAGCCCGATTTATAGCCAATTTTAGGTATCTTACTCAATACATCTCCCTCTGTGTTTTCATGGAGATTTCCTCCTGTTGCATCACAAAGTCATGTTCTCCCCTTGGCCTGTATCCCCAACCAGCATTGTATAAGGAGTATTTCCACTGCTTACTACAAAACCAGAACATTTTATGAGCATTTTCCTACTGGGGATAATCTGCTCCTATGTTCTGCAGGCTGGACTGCTTTGCAGAGAATATAATGTGCCATGTGAGAAAGAGGTCCATTAAAAAAATAAAAAAGGAACAGGACATATCCTGTATCTATATTGTAAATGGATGCCCACTGCCTGGACGTCATTCAGAATGGCAGCATCAAGGAAATCATCAAATGCTTACAATAGACAAGATGTGTGATGGTGCAGATGCAACAGACGCCGCAATTTCACTGAATACAAGGCATTTTGATTGACAGAGGAGAGGCAGGTACACCATGGGGTTAGGAAGAGTGAGAGACTCCATCCTTAAAGTGGAGTTCCACTCACCTGACAAAAAATAAAAGGCAGCCGCTACAAAAACTGTAGCTGCTGACTTTTTAAAAAAAACAGCCACTTACCTGTCCCTCGGTCGTGTGGTGTGTCCCTCGCAGCCCATTTCACTGGCCGTCCTGTATTCCAGGAGACCGGCATCTTCAGTGTGGGCATCCAGCTGTGATAGCTTGCAGCTTCACAGCCTGGTACCCACTGAGCATGCGCTTCATGAATGGTCCTGTAGTCTTCTGGGATCTGTCACGTGTCCCACAAGACTACAGGGAAGGAGGGAGGACACCTGTTTCCGATCGCCTAGGCCAGGGGTGTGCAAACCGTGGCCCTCCAGCTGTTGTGGAACTACAAGTCCCATCATGCCTCTGCGAGTCATGATGCAACTGTCAGCCTTTCAATGCCTCATGGGACATGTAGTTCCATGACAGCTGGAGGGCTGCAGTTGCCCACCACTGGCCTAGACAATCAGACCGGAAATGGAAGCAGGTACCTGTCAAATTTGGGTACCAGCTCCCCCACAAAGGTGCCAATCCTTAATGGGGAGTGGTCCTTAAAGTGGAACTTCCCCTTTTGGGTGGAGCTCCGCTTTAAAGAGTTAGTCCATGTTTATCAAAAAACTGCCTCTGCAGCTAAGGGATGTCTGTAGATAAAAGCAAACTGTGCATCTCCGACTAAAGTTGAAGAATGCTCTTGCTATAGGTGTCGGCCATTTATGTACCTCATGAAGCCTGACTGGAATACTCCCAGGATGTTGCTAGGAAGTTGCTAAGTGAGGCCTATTCGTAACTGCGCACCTTCATCACCAGACATGTGAGATCTCAAACTCAGAGCTACAGCACAGTTACATAGTTAGTCTGGCTGAAAAAAAGACAAAAGTCCATCCAGTTCAACCATAAAAAAAAAAAAAAAAAAAAAAAAGTTATAATCCTACACCCACAGTTGATCCAGAGGA